AAATAAGGATGGGGACGTGGAATATTCGTACAATGTACGAAACTGGAAAGGCTGCTCAGGTAGCCGCAGAAATGAAGAGATATAAATTAGAAGTGTTGGGAATCTGCGAGAGCAGGTGGAACGGATGCGGAAGGTGCCAACTACCAACTGGAGAGACAATAATCTACTCCGGTCACCCAGAGGACGATCACGAGCACACCGAGGGAGTAGCCATCATGATGTCACCAACAGCGGCTAAAGCTCTCATGCAGTGGGAACCAATCTCCTCTAGGATAATGACAGCCAGGTTCGACTCAAAAGGAAGGAAGGTTACAATCATTCAATGCTACGCACCTACAAACGTCTCAGAAAAAGAGAAGAAGGAGGATTTCTACAGTCAACTACAAACAGTAATGGACAACGTCCCAAAGAGCGATATCAAAATCCTGATGGGTGATATGAATGCGAAACTGGGAGGAGACAATACAGGAAGAGAACTCACCATGGGTCGCAAGGCCCTCGGTGAAATGAACGAAAATGGTGAACTCTTCTCAGACTTCTGCGCCTTCAACGATTTGGTGATTGGTGGCAGTGTGTTCAAACACAAGGATATACACAAGGCGACATGGATTTCACCAGATGGACACACCAAAAACCAGATAGACTTCATTTCAATCTCAAGGAAGTGGAGACGGAGCCTACTGGACACAAGATCGAGGAGAGGAGCAGATGTGGGTTCAGACCACTATCTAGTACAACGGACTTTCAAGGTGAAGCTAAAAGCCTCAACGATAGCTGGGGATAGGCCACAATGCCAGTTCAACACTCAAAAACTGAAGGACACAATCACACAGGACATTTTCACTGCAACGGTCAGAGCAAAGCAGGAAACACTACGTGGCACCACTGAGGAATCATCCGTGGAAGACCATTGGAACTCTCTGAAGGTAATTTTCAACGAAACGTGCTCAACGGTTTTAGGAAGAAAGAAGAGACAAGACAAGGAATGGCTCTCAACGGACACTTGGAAGCTAATAGAGTAGAGGAGAATGGTGAAAGAGAAAATGATTCAATGCAAAGATGGACAACAGAAAGAGACGCCGAGCTCAACTTCCACTGGACAAAGACAAAGAAGTGAAGAAGAGTGCCAGGAAGGACAAAAGACAATTCTACGACAACTTGGCCACTGAAGCTGAGAATGCAGCAGGCAAAAGGGACCTAAGGACACTATATCAGATAACCAAGTCTCTATCCGGGAAGAGATCAACACAATTGAAACCTATAAAAGACAGCCAAGGGAACCCAATTACCAAGGAAGAAAGACAGATTAAACAATGGGCGGACCACTTCAAAGGACTCTTGAACAGACCACCACCTGCAACCCGTCCAGAAATACCAACAACAGCACGTACACAACTGCAAGTTGACACCAATCCTCCACCGAAAACTGAAGTCATGAATGCAATCAAGCTTCTTAAAGCTGGAAAAGCAGCTGGACCAGATGGAATACCCCCGGAAGCACTGAAAGCGGACCCAGAGACGACAGCAGATATGCTGACTCCATTATTGCAAAAGGTTTGGAAAGAGGGAAAGGTGCCTACTGACTGGAGGAAAGGTTACCTCGTGAAACTACCAAAGAAGGGCGACTTAGGACTCTGCAAGAACTGGCGAGGAATCACGCTCCTGTCGACGCCAAGTAAAATTCTGAGTCACATCATCCTGGAGAGAATAAAGGACGCACTGGATACAGAATCCCGACCAGAACAAGCTGGATTCAGGAAAGGCAAATCATGTTCTGACCAAATTGCAACTCTACGCATCATCATCACAGAACAAAGCATGGAATGACAATCAAACCTCTACCTCAACTTTATAGACTTTGAGAAGGCCTTCGACAGCGTTGACCGTGAAGTAATTTGGAAACTACTCGAGTACTACGGCGTACCCCAAATATTCATCAACCTTATTCAACAGCTGTACGACAACGGCACATGTCAAGTGATCCACAACGGAAAACTCAGCGAGGCTTTTGGAGTAAACACAGGAGTCAGACAAGGGTGCTTATTATCACCAATGGTATTCCTAATTGTGGTGGACTGGGCTGGATTATGCGTCAGACAGTGGGAAACGAGAAGACAGGGATATCCTGGACCGACGTAAAGAACCTAGAAGACCTGGATTTCGCGCGTGGATGATTTATGTTTGATGTCACACAAAATCGAAGACTTACAGGCGAAAACCGACAAACTGGTCGAAGAAGCAGCAAAGACAGGACTCCAGGTGAACATAGACAAGACGGAGGTTATGAAAATAACCAACCAACAACAACAGCAGTAACATCCAACGCCAATCACCATCAACGGGAGGGATTTGAAAGAGGTTACTTCTGTTGCACACCTTCATCAACAACTGTCTTCGTTCCATACTGAAGATTAGATGGCCGGAAAGAATCACAAACAAGAAGCTATGGGAACAAACAAAACAGGAACCAATCGCTCAACAAATATGGAGGAGAAAGTGGAGATGGATTGGACACTCACTCGCTGAGGAGGCCGCTGGGAGACATAGCGCTTCAGGCCCTCGAGTGGAACCCGAAAGGGAAGCGGCGAGTGGGACGTCCAAGGGTGACATGGAGGAGGTCGTGTGATGAGGAACTGAAACAGTATGGATTAACATGGATGCAAGTGAAAAGTACAGCACAAGACAGAAGCAAGTGGAGGCGTGCAGTTGAAGCCCTATGTTCCACTAGGAACCCAAGGGAACAATAATAATAATAATGCATGAAGAGATGTTCGAAATCTCTTATCTCTAAATCACAAGCAGCTGACGAATATCATTCCATTTATTGTTATGGCTTCTGAGATCTGGAAATTTAAAAATAGCCTCCACCAAATCGGTGATGCATATTGCTAAGTTGGCTAAGAGGGTAATAAGCTTTTACGATATTTAAGTGTCCTTGAGGCTAATCTTGTAATTGGTCAGATGAGGAAGTGATTTCTCCAAGTCTACAGATCGAATATACGTTTATTCAGACTCCATAAAAGGTATATGAGCAATGTCTCGATTTGTGTACACACATGCTTCTCGAATTCATCAGGATTATATGTTGTGTTTTATGCATTTTTATTTCTTTTCTCTCAACTATTGTCGTTGGAACGTTTTACAAGAATTTCACGTCCTACTGTAAAAATTTTAAGTAGTGTGCGTGAATCCCATAAACGTTTCCAAATGTATTACCTTAGCAGATATCCATGGAATTCATATGATTTATGATCAAGATTTGACCGAATAGTTCCAAATTAGTTAGCCCCTGCGTGAAAAGTACACATGTGTAGAAATTAAATTTGTAAAAATCTCAGAGAAGTTGAAATGAGTAATTCCAACGTTTCGTTCGGCAAACTGGTCCGAACTTCTTCAGGGACCTCAGTCGAAATTAAAATAACAGAGGCTGACAAATAAAAAGGACATCACTTGTTTTTAAAACTTTGTCCAAATATATGAGTCATGAATCAGGCATCGAAATATAATAAACAAAATTACATAAAATGTGACCAGGATTTGACCTGAGACTTAAAAATATTAGTCTACTTTTGTTAAACACTTTAAACAGAGTGTACTTTTCATCAGAATTTTAGTGATAACGTTCGACTAAAAGTTTATGGTCGTAGATAACTGAATATGAAAAACATATATACGTGTATATGCAGTACAATGGTGTGTGTTATGAGTAAACAGTTGTAAACCGTTTATTAGCCTCTCCATAAGAAGACATAGACATTTAGGAATTTAAATCAAGTATGATTGATAGTGAGACGTATCCATTTTTATTTATTAATCAGGACTTGCCATGCATCAGCTAACATGACACCTTCACGTCTGTTCAAATTTTGGGGTTCACTCACATATGCAGGGCCTCTGCTGTCGGTCTTTCTTTATTCGAACCAAAACTTTTCTGTTGAACTTTGGCCCTATCAAAGTCGATCTTGTATCTGGTTTCTATCGAGTGCAGTGCAATCGCTGATCTATTTTCTAGCTTCTTTAAGTCTGCAGAGGTCTTTAGAATCACCTAAAGACACTGTTTATGCTCTTCTACCCTTACATATACCTGTCTGAAAGTTTCTGCTGAAAAATACGGAGTCACAATCCCCTACAACTGATCTGGTACACACAATTATGTTAGTTGTCTTCTTCTATTTTATCCTTAACCTTCAACGGTGAAGAGCGTAAGGTATCCGTTACACGAAAATACACTCTTATGTCATGATTGTTAAAGATTAGCTCTAGTCATCCGATGTTTCTTTGCGGCAAGGAATCACCACTGTGCTGACCCAATTCGCAGCAACAGATTTCGATTCATCCTTATCTTCACACTATAAATATTTTTCTATGAAGGCTTTGCGGTGATTATTTGATTTAAGAGTGGAATGAACCGATTTTAGTTCCTTACTAATCTCTTCCTCCTCAGTAATTAGACGTTTCGCTCTGTTATTCAGATTCTTGACCACAGTTACTTTGGTGGTAAAAGGATGTGCTGAATAGTAGTAGTCTAGGCATCTTTCCGAATGTGTCGGCTTTCTGCAAATGTTTATTTAATTTGTTTCAGTTTCGCTGAGATTTTTTACAAATATTTATTTTAAACGCGGAATTGTTTTCCCAAATCCATTATACAATAAATAACCTAATTGTTTATTTCACTTAAATTCTTCATCTCACTAGTTAAACATGAGTCATAGTTATATTATGTCTAAGATTGTCATCACTGCTAGATACAATAATGGCATGTCGAAGCTTTTGTAATATTAATACGCCTAGTTTCTTTGGCACTATTTAGAGATTGAACTTATGCTTCTCAAATACTCATGTTACCATGGTGCTTATGAAATTCTACACTGTAATTTTTTCAGTTGATAGCGGTAACATTTCATTTGCTGTCTACGAATTTCTTCCTTCTCAATATTAGGCTGTCAAGACATCGAAGTGAAGGATCTCTTCTGCACCAGTGCCCCTACTGCGAAACTTTAATGTTACCTGTAAATCCACCAAATCTAGCAAAAACAAAACGCTCCAAAATGGAAAGAGTTTTCAGCTATCCGAATGAGAATCAGGACCCAACAGACCAACAACAAGAAAGGGAAGAAGCTATTTATTACTACCAACCAAATTATAAGCAGATTGTTGTTTCACATAAAACAATACGTACAAAACACACTAATATCAAGAAAACCACGGACTCCCGTTCACCATCATCTCTGATATTATGTGAAATAAAGTCACCATCTGCTTCTTCAGATATCCCTCATAAATCTACTAATCGATGCCGTGAAATACCAATTCGGATACAACGTAACGATTCTGATGACAATGAAAATAAATCAAATTACTTTTCAGTACATTGTAAAATTAACTCATCCACAAAAGCCAATCCGCATTCTCCTGAAGGGACAGTTAGTGTTGTTGAAAGTTCAGACAATGATTCAACTGCTTTTTAAAAAGTAACACAATGAAGAATATTAAATTAGAAGGAATATGATTACGTCTTTTCATTCAAATAAGTGGTATTATTACGTTTTCTTCTTTTTGTTATTTATTTTATTGAAATTTCTATTGTTGGCAATATACTTGTAAATTATTAACTTTCATTTATTTTATGAATAATTATATTCAGACTTGTCGAGAAATAAGTGAATCATTTATTCTGGAACTTATCATTTACATTTTCACCAAACTATGGATGTACTACTCAGTATGTAGCTCAATCAGTAGTGTGGTTTCGTCGTGGAAAGGCTATTCGCATTCTTCTGGGAGAGAAATGTGCGTTTAATATTTTACATTTTGACTTTTTTTAGACAGACTACGGTCAGCTGAGATTTAATAGATTGATGGAAATCAACATTCGTGTTAATTGAATGAAGCTCACTCAGTTGAATCAAATCCATGATTTTAGTTTATCATGTCTATTGCGAATTCTGTCAATTCCCACCTAAATTTTATTCATATTATCCACAGATACACACAAAATATTTCCTAATTTTGTGAACAATTTTGTATGTATAGAAGCATAATTGAAGAAAGAAGTGAAATTAATGGAATCTTTTAGCATGTTTCAAAAGGAATCATTTGTCTGCAAATATTTCTGTAAATTGTTTCACTCGGTGAACGTTACCTGCATCTAGATGAGAGTTTTTGTTTGTTAACTTGGCGTTGATGATACCTTCCTTGGCTAGGAGCGCATTAGTTATACACGTTCAAGTGTGTGTACAGTTGACATACATCATTTTAAGCGTGCATGGAAGCGTAAGATTCCAAAGTCTGCACTTTTGTTGACTATCTGATTTAAAGGTATAAGCATTGGTTATTATTTATTTTCTATTTTTTTATTTTTGATTACAGCTTGATGCCACTCCGTATTTTCAGTACAAGTATGGCATTTTCAGCATGGATATCCGTAGCCCAAATTTTACAGGCCGACCATAGATATCGGGTGTGCGTCGGCAGGGGATCGAACCCCGGACCATGTGCATGGTCGGCGAGAGTCCTAACCACTGTGCCACCGACGCACTCAGGACTTCATCAAGAGCTGCCATAGGTTACAGGACCATTGGAAAACCAACAAGGAGTAATGGACGGCCAGCTGTTTCGTCAACCTAGTTTGGGACTCTTCATCAGTACTCACCCACTGGGTTACGAACCCAGGACCTTCTGGTCATAAAACTAGCCAGCTCGTAGACCATTAAGATACTGGGAATCGATCCAGTGGTCCATGAATTCTAACTTCTGCCAATTCACGAGATAGCAGGACCACTAGTCAATCTCTTCGGCAAGTATTTCTAAGTTTGAATTCATGGGCCTTTGGATTGTATCCCAGTGACTCAATGGTCTACGACCTTCTCTTGTAACGATTAGGTCTTGTGTTGCGATACTGTACGTCAGTGCGTACTGCTGAAGAATCCCAAACTAAGCTGACGAGACAACCGTCCATTACTACCTGTTGGTTTCCAATGGTCCTCTAACCGATGTTAGCTCATGATGAAATCCTGTAACCAGTCAATCAAATCTCTACCAACCAGTACAATACATATTAATATCCTACTTAGATATGATACACGAGAATATTATCGAACAAGGAATTCTTCAAAGTGAGAGGTGATTGTAGATGAAAAGTGACTGAACGATACTTGGAATCAAAGTGAAAAGCCATAACACCTGTCAGTCTTTTAGATTTAAAAATAAGCTGACTTAGCAATCCAGAGATTATTAAATTCCCAGATGTCATACACTGTTGTCAGCTCAACGCATATGTGTCTCACGCTGCATTTTGTTGTTATAAAATTTCATACCGGCTAATCAGTCAATTTCTTCAGGTTATCTCTACTTCCTGATGACAACAGTTTTAATAAAATTGGCATCAAAGGATATGCAGGCATCAGGAGAGTAAGTTACTTCCCCTTTTAAACAAATATGAAGTAACTGAGAGAGTGTGTGTGTGTGTTACAGTTCAAAGTAATCTGACTCAACTGGATGATTACTGAAGGCCTATGGCTAAATGACCTATCAGATAGGCTATCTACCATCCCTCATAGTCTCTAAATTATTAATGTATACTGAAGTAATCAAAAAATGTCAAATACTTAACACGGAAGAGAAAATTAAGTTAGTGATAACGCTTCAAACCGTTAGGCTTTCAGTTAATTAATTCATCTTGGCAACTTTCAGGTAACATCTATAATTTCAGTGACAAAGAGAACCGAATAGAGCTTAATTTTGACAAATCTTGTCATTGACAGCATATTGTTCATTTCATAGAATGTATATTAGGATTAGATGTATGTCATTTAGAAGAAAGCTGGATAACCTAGCTTTCCTTCCTACCTTGTTTATCAGTGATAATGTTTTGTGAGAAATTATAACACCATTATTCTGAAAACCAGGTAGAACATCGGAGGAAATGTTCCTAGCCTCAACGTTCATTGTGCCTAACTCTTGTAGATGACGAATCGTGTTCATTATCTTCCTGCGTTTCTTTTCACTTCATTGTGGATTTATAAGTCTAGTTACTGCTGTTGTGAATTTTTACCAAAATAAATTCGGGACGATAATCCAACAATTAAAAGCACATGTTGAGTGACACAAAATCTGAAAACACAGGATTTGTTTTAAATGCCGCAGCATGTTAAATATAAAATATGAAATGACCTCTTGTTCTACCTGAGGAGACACAAGATGAAAGCTGCGGGTACTGTGGTGGATGCTCTCAGTCTGACAAAACTCCTTTAGGAAATTTGTTGTATGAAATCAAGTGCTAATCAATGGCGATGTCAATCATATGGTCAAACGGAATACCACTCGCCCCACTGACAGTCTTCAGAGCCCTACGAAGTTTGATTTAGTCTTTTTTAAGCAATCCAGGAAAGAATAAGGGTGAACAGTAAAGAAGAATAGGTAAGACGCATGAGCTGACAAACAGTAAGAGGAGGGGATGAGTTATGCCTGAGTGCCTTAACTTCTTAATGTAAAACGTCAGAAGAAATATTCTTTTAGAAATCGCTAAGACATGGGAGGACAAGGATAGGTCAGAAGAAAGAATTAATCCAAGATACTTAATGACAGACTAGGATCTGAACTTCGCCGATGATATATGTCTGATTTCCCACAAACTGGAAGATATGCAAGCGAAAAGCAACAAGTTGACAGAAGAAGCATCAAAGATAGGACTTCAGGTGAACATGGAGAAAACAGAGGTGATGAAGATTCCTGGACAAGAACAACAACAACAGACAACGATCAGCATAAATGGGAGGGACCTGAAAGAAACAACCTCTTTTACCTACCTGGGAAGCATCGTTTCACCTACAGGCGGAACTGACGAGGATATCAAAGCAAGAGTCGGAAAAGCAAGATAACCTCTCACTACTCTCAAGTCTGTGTGGAGGTCAACAGCACTCAGCATCAAAAATCAGGTCCGGATTTCCAACTCCAATGTGAAGTCAGTGCTACTATACGGATCAGAGACTTGCACTGCGCGTCATAAAGAGCATCTCAAACAAACTACAGACCTTCATTAACAGTTGTCTTCGCTCAATACTCACGATCAGATGGCCGGCCAGAAAAGATCAGCAACAGGGATCTCTGGCAATGAGCGAACCAACCAGGAACCGATTGTGAAATAAATAGGCAGGAAGAAATGGAGATGGATTGGCCATACTCTGAGGAAACCATCAAGTGACATCACTAGACAAGTCATTGCTCGAGTGGAACCCGAAAGGGAAGCGGCGAGTTGGTCGTCAGTGTGAGGATGATTTTGAGGAGGTCATGTGAAGTGGAGATCAAAGCGTGTGGGCAGACATGGAGCCAGGTGAAGACTCTAGCAGAGAACAGAACGCAATGGAGACGCACGGCTGAAGCCCTATGTTCCTCTAGGAATTAAAGGAAACAATAATAATAATAAATAATAACGACAGACTTGATTTCTATATCAGTATCATCAATTTTCCAACTGTCATAGGAGTTGACAGCTTCATTTAACTTTCTTTTACATCGGAAACTGAAATTAACAGTTTGACATTTGGAAGGATTTAGTTTAAGACCATCAGATGAAGACCATATGCTAACTCTCGATAGAAAGCAGTTAACCTTAGTACAGTCTAGCTGGGAGTTAACAGACATTGAAATAGTTATATCGTCCGCATGCTTAATAAAGTTTATTTCATCATCAGAGTGAGGCAAGTCATGCGAGAAGGAAGAAAACAGAAAAGGAGAAAGGACAGTGCCTTGAGGGACATTAGCCTCAGTTAGCAATGAAGTGGACGACTTCCCTGGACATACAGTGCACTGCTCTCTTCCTGAGAAATAAGAGTGCAGCCAGTTGACAACCCAACAGTCAGTTTGAGTTTCAGCAAGCTTGTTTAACAAAATATCTCTTGGTACTGAGTCGAAAGCAGATGTGTAATCTAGGAAGGTGAGACAAACAGATTTAGCCCCCTTGTCTAAACTGCAGATGATGTTATGATGCAAGACTGCAGCTGCATCTAGAGTACTTCTACTGTGTTTATAGGTGGATTGTTTGGGGTCGTTAAAGGCATTAAGTGAGGATTCAAGATGGAGTCAGAGTAACTTTTCCATAGTTTTAGAAAAGGAGAGGTAATAGCAATAGGTCTAAATTTAATACACATTCCAGTGGATAACTTAGCTATAGGTACAATTTTTATGTTCTTCCAAACGGCTGGCACGACATTTCTGGAAAAGGATTAATTAAATATGTCCATGAGAGGATAACACAGGATATCTGCACACTTTGTGAGAATAATGCTAGGCAAACCATCTGGTCCTAGGCTACGAGAAGGGTTCATAGACTGGAGACATTTTAGTGCGTCATTTTTTTGAAATATCTGTAACACTAGAGAGCATGGTATTTGTGGAAGAATGTATGAAAGACTTGTATAGTGTACACACGTCAAACGAACAAGGAATACTGTTGATCTGCCTACCACCA